GCTCGCTCCAGGCAGTCGGGGTGCCGCCTACGCGGCTCCCTGCTCCCCCGACCCCCTGCTCCCCCGACCCCCTGCTCTGCTACTCCCCTGCTCCCTGCCACATGCTCCTCAGCTCTCCTGCTACCTGCCCCTTGCTGCCTGCCCCGCTGATCCCATTCTGTCCATCTCCCAGCTCCCCATCTTCCTGCTCCCCCCGCACCACGTCCTACGTTTTATGACCCCTCATTGCTTGCCTTTTGCTCCAGCAACTGCTTCTGCCCCCCTCTCTCTCTCTCGCTCGCTCTTTGTGCCACTCTTTCTTAGCCCTCTCCGTCTCTCTCCCCCCCCCCCCCCCCGCCGCCACCTCATCTTTATATATCTCCCAGATCTCTCATCATCTCCCTGCCTCTATGTCCCCCTCTCCCCACTCTCTCTCTCTCTTCATCTCTCTAATTCTTACTCCGTGTTTTGGTCAATAGCTATTTCTTATCTACCTCCCCTCAATCCCCCTCTCTCTCTCCATCCCTCCGCATCTCTCTTTCGCTGCCTGTACACAGTAAACACCTCTCTCCCCTCTCTCTCCTCTCTCTCTCTCCTCTCTCTCTCCTCTCTCTCTCTCCTCTCTCTCTCTCCTCTCTCTCTCTCCTCTCTCTCTCTCTCCTCTATCTCTCTCCTCTATCTCTCTCCTCTATCTCTCTCCTCTCTCTCTCTCCTCTCTCTCTCTCCTCTCTCTCTCTCTCCTCTCTCTCCTCTCCTCTCTCTCCTCTCTCTCTCTCCTCTCTCTCCTCTCTCTCTCTCCTCTCTCTCTCTCTCCTCTCTCTCTCTCCTCTCTCTCTCTCCTCTCTCTCTCCTCTCTCTCATCCTCCTCTCGGCTCTTCCCTCTCGGTTGTACCGCTGCACCGCCTCTTCAATCAATCTTTTCATTACCTCTGAACATCCTTTGTTTCGGCGCTTCCGACGTCGACAATGGTAATACGTCATAATAAAATCCTTCGTCATGAAGCATGTCTAACGTTTCGGGCCATTGTCTCTCTTCAGAGCAAAGAGAGGGCAAGCGGAATTGCGTTTATCGTCGGTCGGAGGTCGTCTCAATCGTTGGAGGCGCGGAACGGTGGTGGTGGTGTTTGTGTGGTGGTGGTGGTGTTTGTGTGGTGGTGGTGGTGTTTGTGTGGTGGTGGTGGTTGTGTGGTGGTGGTGTTTGTGTGGTGGTGATTGTGGTGGTGGTGGTGGTGGTGTTTGTGTGGTGGTGGTGGTGATTGTGGTGCTGCTGGTTGTCTGGTGGTGGTGATTGTGGTGCTGCTGGTTGTCTGGTGGTTGTGGTTGTGTGGTGGTGGTGATTGTGGTGCTGCTGGTTGTCTGGTGGTTGTGGTTGTGTGGTGGTTGTTGTTTGGTGGTGGAGGTTGTCTGGTGGTGGTTGTGTGGTGATTGTGTGGTGGTTGTCTGGTGGTTGTCTGGTGGTTGTGTGGTGGTTGTGTGGTGGTTGTTGTGTGGTGGTGGTGGTGGAGGTGCTGCTGATTGTCTGGTGGTGGTTGTGTGGTGGTTGTTGTGTGGTGGTGGTTGTTGTGTGGTGTGTAGTGGTGGTGGTGTGTAGTGGTGGTGGTGTGTAGTGGTGGTGGTGTGTAGTGGTGGTGGTGTGTACTGGTGGTGGTGTGTAGTGGTGGTGGTGTGTAGTGGTGGTGGTGTGTAGTGGTGGTGGTGTGTAGTGGTGGTGGTGTGTAGTGGTGGTGGTGTGTAGTGGTGGTGGTGTGTAATGGTGGTGGTGTGTAGTGGTGGTGGTGTGCAGTGGTGGTGGTGTGCAGTGGTGGTGGTGTGTAGTGGTGGTGGTGTGTAGTGGTGGTGGTGTGTAGTGGTTAGCGCGCTGCATTACGAACCTGGTGAACCGCTCCTGGGCCTCCTTTAAGTCGACTCAGTCTCAAATGTGTCCCTGGTGTGGTGCTCGCTAACAGCACTCGCCCCAACAGTCTGTTAAGGCTATACTGGGGATATTTGTCTTTTTGTGGCAGTGGTGGTGTTGGAGAGATAGCTTGGATCACGGTCACAGCTTTGCGATCCACACTATGGGGATGTTGGCGCAAAACTGGAGGAATCCCGAAGAGCCATGCAGTTCTATCTTTCACAGACGTCCAGTCGCGATAATTGAGACACCCGGAACATTTTTCCGCACAAATAGAAATGTGGAGGAATAGTCACAAACAATTTTTTTTTTTTAAATCTTTTGAACTTATAAAGGAAAGAAAGGTGGAGAGGCCACACCGGTGGAATGGTCAGCGCACTGGACTTGAAATCCAGAGGTGGACGGTTCCATTCGATGGGGCAAGTCCTCTGGTTCGCTGGGCTGCACCGCAGCCAGTCGCTCACCTCTCACAAGGCGCCTGGCACACGTGGAAGAGGAGACCAAGTCCGCCCCAAGAGCTCCCACTTGTCGGAGGCCCGTTCCTCCAAATGTGCCACGCGGTGGCTTATGCCGCCGTGCCGTTTGTACGCTCGCCCCTGGGCGTATCCAATCGGTGCATTCGTAGCTAACATATATCACTTGCACCGCTAACCAGTGCAGTGCAACGTCCCGGATGTGTCTATACAGTATACATATAGACACCGTCTACGAGGTACACTCGTTTATGTATAGAATATAAATCGATTGGCATCAGCCATGCTCTCACCACTGCTGGATGGAGCGTGCTGTAGCCGTTTCAAACGTCCCTCCAACATCGAATGCATCCACCGCTCCATCTCTGCGGCCAGAACAGCCTCGTGCGCCGCCGGTGGATGGATTTTTGGATCTCGCACCCATCCACACTGGCCGAAAAATCGCGGTGAAGTATGGTCAAACGGGACCCCACCACACACCCACCACCCTCTCCCACTGTTGCGGGGAGAGGCGTCCTTCAAGGCTGCATGAAGGCAAAGTCAGGAAAGCAGCAGAGGTGGAAATTATAATTCTAGAGAGTCGATAGAAGTAACTGCGCTCGTGTGTGTGTGTTTGTGCGATGATCATCAGGTCGAATCAGCCTCAAACGAATATTTTATGCGGTTGTGTAGCAAACATCGCCACCGGGGAGACAAAGGCGACCGGGCGTGGTGGTGCTGGTCACCCACCGTTCTTCGTGGGCCCATAGTGTCGGCCTTCATGTGTGCCGTTAACGAGCAGCACTTTCCCCAGCAATCTGTTAAGGCTATAGTGTGGGGGGGAGTCGGGAGGGGGGGGGGGTTGTCTTTATCTTTGCTGATCATCAAAGTGAATAATCAAGGTGTTTTATTTGGGGGTTAGATCGCGTAATTATAAATACGTCGTGAACCCCCCCCCCCCCATCAAAGTGCACTTAGCATGGCGCAAACGCTGTGGTGACGGCACCGCCACTTAGTGATAAACTGCGGCTGTTGTTGCTGCTGCTGTTGATCATCGCTTTGTTCCACACCGAATGACCAACCAGATTCACGTGTCGTCGAAAAGACGCATCACGTTTCGTTGACGACCCCCCCCCCGTCTCTCACCCCCCCCCCCCCCGCCCATCGAACCTATCGATCAGTGTTTGGTGACGGAGAGACCTGGGCACGAGTTTCGCCAAAAAGAAATCGGAGGAACACGGGGGTGGGGTGGAGAGTATTGAAGGTTCTGAAATGAAGTGAAGGCCTCGCAGCAGACACCGACAAACGGTGACCGCTCGCCGTCCAAGCCGAACAGCGCCCCGACCACGTGGGGAGCGGCGCGCGAGAGAGATTCGATGGTTGAATTGGAGGCCTGGGAGATGGCTCAAGAAAGCACTGTCTCCACGCGGTTGTTCGTAACCTGGGAACCCGGGTTGCTCACTGCTGCGTCACCTGCGCTCACACGCACGACACCCACCACACCACGCAGGGAAACACCGCTACCACACCGCAACACATCATCATCATCATCCTGTATATACGTTATGCTTCCGTCGCAAGATACATCGTTCAACAGCACAAATAAAGACAAAGGTCCCCCGTGTAGCCTTAACAGGACTGTCGGAGGCAAGTGCTCTGAGCGAGCAGTATCAATGAAGGCTGCGACGGTACATGAAGGGGTTGATGTGGCAAGAACCACGCCCTGCCGTCTTGGTATCCAACGTAGCCATGCTTTTAAACACCGCACTCGGTACTTATTTACGGCTGAGTCGACCTAGGGGAGGCCCGTGACCGCTTCAGATAATCGTCACTGGGTGTTGGTGGCCGTGAGCGGCATTCGAACTCGGGTCGCCGTGGTTGGGTAACGCGGCGCGCTAACCACTACCCCACCGCTCCCCATACGTCCACACGTACACACAACAACAACAACAAAGATCCCCCGTATAGCCTTAACAGACTGTAGGGGCAAGTGCTGTTAGCGAGCACCTTTGACGGCCGGAACGGTACACGAGGGGGGTGGGTGGCCAGCACCACGCCCGACCGCCTTTGTCTCCCCAGTGGAAATGTTTACGCACCGCACCAGGTACTCGTACACACACACACACACAGGTACCTACTACCCAACTGCCCCGGACCGACACGCGCGCGCGCGCACACAGGTCCAGGCGTAAAACGCAAAAACCCCATGGACACGCGTCCAGGTATTGCGGCCACGTGTTAACTACCAACTCTTCAGTTCTTTCAGTCGCGGTCGACGTCTTGGCTCATCGTCATGCTCCCTCGCAGCGCGTTGTTTTTTTTTTGTGTTTGTGCGCGCAAATCAATCACCCTGCGCGACCTTTGAAGCGATCGTCTCTCGGCGATGCGCACGAAACGTTTTGCAGCAGAGACGATTTTGATGCTCACACCACCACCTCTGGGGGTGGTGGGTGTCGGATTTCATCTTCAGACACAGCGCACGTGCGTCCGGTTATGGTTTTATTGTGTTGCAGCGCGCTGCGCGTGAAGTCTGTCATTTTTGTTGCTGCGACGTAATAATCCGCCTCGATATTTTCCATTTTTTTTTTTTTTGCAGCGGGAGGTGGTATAAGCTGCGGGGGGGGGGGGAGGAAGTTGGAGGGGGTGGTGGAGGAAGAGGTGCGTCGGGAGGGGTGGTGGTGGTGGTTGTGGTTGGAAGCGCAGCAGCAGCATCATCATCATCATCAGCAGCAGCTCCATGGAGCGGTGCGCTGCCAGCGGGTTGGGTGCCGTGGCAGTAAATTCCACGCGGTGACCGAGCCTCGGAGGGCTAAATACGACATTTGATCGCCGGCGTGCGGCGAGAGACCGGATTTTTTTTTTGGTGGGGGGTTTTACGAACCCCCAGCTCCCACCACCACCCCCCCCCCCGCCCTTATGTGTTATAGGCCTAAATGGCCGCGCTAACCTAAATACGCATCGAGGAAGCCAGCAGCAGCAGCAGCAGCTGCCGTCGTAATCATCCATGGGAGCCCGCGCCGCGTCGAGGATTCCGTGGCGCGCGCCTTCCTCCTCCTCCTCCTCGATGCGCAGGCCGTCGTGTGACTGACAGAGTTGGGGAGGGGGGGGGGTGGGTGTTGGGGTTGGAGGGACGCCTACCCCGGCTCAGGCGTCGCCCGCCGTTTGCCTCCTTCCACGTCCTCCCGATGAATTCCTACTTCGCGAATTCCCTCTTCGGCAAGTACAAGGCGGGCGAGGCGATGCGTCCCACCTACTACGACTGCCGCCTGACGGGCGCCGAAGGAATGAGCGCTCGTCAGGCGGTCTTCTACGGCCCCGCGGGGCACGGCGGAGCCGCCGCCGCTGCGGCTGCGGCCGCGGCAGCCGCGGCCGCAGCAGCCGCGGCGGCGGCGGCCGGATTCGATCTCCCGTCCGGGATGGCGCAGGGCGGCGCGGGGTCCCACCACAGCCACCACCACCACCACCACCCCCAGGACTTTTACCACCATCACCAGCAGCAGCAGCAGCAGCAGCACGGAGTGTCCGGATCGGCCGCGTACCCGCAGCCCGCCTCGTGCGCCGCGCTCGAACCGTCGGCCAACTTCTACGGCTACGCTGCGTTTCCGTGCGGGAGGCAGCCGATGTTCGCCCTGCAGTCGGAGTGCGGCGGCGGTGGAGGAGCAGCGGCTCAATTCCACGCCGACTTCAAGGCTCTGGCGCCCTGCGCGGAGGACGAGGTGGAATTCCCCGTGCAGGGGGCGTCATCAGCGCCGCTCTTCCCATGGATGAGGAGCCAAGGTAAGAGGTAGCGAGCAGTAAATACGTGCGAACGTGTGCGGCTGCCTCTCTCTCTCTCTCTGTGTGTGTGTGTACATAACTCAGCGAGCAGCTCTGCGCACCCGGCTTCGGCGTCGTTTACGAGTCCATATTTTTTTGAATAGGAGAAGGGGCCCGGTCTGCGGCTGTATTTTACAGTCGTTAAAGCGAGCGCGCTGACTGAGAGAATGAGAGCAATATTATGCTTGAGACTCGCGCGCGTACACACACACACACGCGCGCTTCAGACGAGCGCTTAAAGAGTTTATCGCCACGCATATCACAGAGAGAGAGGTTTTGTCGTGTTTATTATGGTTTTAACAAGGTCGTGTTAAAAATGTATGTATATACGGTGTTGTGTAAGTCAATAAATAAGTTGGCGAGAATTTGACTCGGCCGTTCACTAAAGGTAGGTTTATTCACGTGGCACGCGATCGGGCAGTTACCCCTCGGTTCATCACGAGCGTAAATTGATGATTATGATAATAATAATAATAAACGAGGAATGTGTGTACCGTATATTCAAACCGCACGCTCAAATGACGTCAACTCTAGACGTGTGAGCGAAAGGCCACCTCGGTGGTCATTTTTAATGCGTACGCGTATTTAGTTTTTTTTTACTTGATATAGATTTGAGTGGCGATTTCAATCGATGGACAGGGTAGATTGTGTGTGTGTGGGGGGGGGTGGCTTGTCTGCACTCTTTTCAGTCTCGTCCCCGTCTGGAGACTCCAGCGCTGTCCTCCAGACAGTCTCGTCCCTTCACCTGATGAAGGCCGCTTGTGTTGTGGCCGAAACGTCGTGAGAATATTATCGTGTTATTTTATCAATTTATTATTTTATTCTCATTCTACGTGACTTTACCGAAAGAACCAAAGAAGAAGGTTTGTCACGTAAAAAGAACGTGGCCAATTCGTCACGAGTATAGCATAGCCGATGTGTTGAAGAGCCAAGCCACGACATTTACAATCTGAGTACGACGTTTCGCCAGTAACTACAACTAGCCGTATTATGGACGATATTGGTCGCGAAAGCCTACTGCTGCTACTACTACTACTACGTGTTAAACTTGGTTTATCTTAGCACAGCGCGGTGATCACCACACGCCACCGGTCTCTACGCCCGGATCGGAGTCAGGAACGGTTTCTGATCATCGTTCCCGCACTGATTTCAATCGTCGAGTTAAAGTGAACTCGTTCCGAGTCGCAGTGCGCTAATAACCCACTTGGCCACCGCTCCACCCCCATAGACACCGGAGACACTGCTCATCACCGCATGTGGTTCACTCTCCGTAAATAACTCTTATAAGTTGCTAAGCGGCTTTTATTAGGGGGTGGGTGACTAAAGTTTAACTTACAGACGCCCGTTGTGATGCGCTGCAAGTGAAGGAAAGATTTGATTTTTCTTCAAATGGTCACGATCATTTAACAGTTCGCGTTGCTCGGTGTTTTTTTGTTTGTTTGTTTGCTCTGTTAACCGCTCAAGCGCACTGTCCCATGCAGACTTAATGCAAAAATTGTCGGTGCTATTGTGTGTGACCTGCCATACGTGGGGAGCGATAGTGTAGCGGTTAGCGCGCTGCGCTATGAACCTGGCGACCCGGGTTCGATTCCCGCTCACGGCCAACACCAGTGACGATTATAAGAACCGGTCCCGGGCCTCCCCTAGGTCGACTCAGCCTCAAATGAGTACCTGGTGCGGTGTGTAAACATTGCCACTAGGGAGACAAAGGCGGTTGGGCGTGGTGCTGGCCACCCACCCCCTCGTGTACCGTTCCGGCCTTCATAGGTGCTCGCTAACAGCACTTGCCCCTACAGTCTGTTAAGGCTATACGGGGGATCTTTGTTTTTTGACCTGCCATAGTCACGTGGGATTTCACTCGATGGGCTCTGGGCCGCCACTCGAGATAAACCCGCACCGCTCTTTTGAGTATTAAGACAGCACCTGAAATAAATGTGCATGGCTATTTGTTTTATATCTCTCGTATATGGGGGGTGAGGGGGAGGGTAAGGAGGAGAAGGAGGAGCGGTGGCGTTGTGGTCAGCGCACTGCGCTATGATGAACCCAGCGACCCGAGTTCGATTTCCATCGACGGCTAAAACCATCAGCTGCGAGTTATATCTGAACCTGTCCTGACACGGGCCATCCCTCGTTCACCGACCCGCAGTGACGAGCGTGGTGAAGTATGGTCAAAACGAACCACTCGTGACGGACACTGCTTGGAGAAGGGATTCATTCAGCAGTGGATTGAGACATTTCGGTCGATCGTACAAACTCAGTAACACCCAAATTTACATCATGAGACCTCCCTTGCAGGTATCAAAATATAAGAATGGTTTTTTACCCTTTCTGGCAATAAAACAGTTGCGTTGAGATGTTAAAACACCAAACGGAAACCTTTTTGAAATGAACCATGTCTGCATCAACCACACGAACCCCTTTTTCTTACGCCACAATTTACCGTCTGCCCCCCGTTTCACGTCGTTTCGCAAAATGCGTCGTCGCTTTATGATCACCGCTACCCGATTTGCGTCACCTCAAGCCAGCACGTACGTCGCGTGACATCGTAGTCGTCATCTGCCCTTTCTCGTTATGCGTCGCCTCTCAGCCTTCGCCTCCACCACCACCACCACCCACGACCCTGCAAATCGCTTCGATTTACGTCGCTTTGATATTCGCCTTTGCACCTGTGCAGGAACGCATCCCCGACGTTAACCGGGGTATTGCCGTATATATATATATATTATAATGACATCGTCTATGTGTGCATGTATGTTGAAGGTTCGGGGGTAAAGACGAACACACCAAACACGAGAGAGAAAAAAAGCACTCATGAAGAATTGAGTTTTCAATCGAGACGTTTCACAAGTGCATAGTCTCCGGTGTCCGTCAGCGTGCCGAGAAGTTGCTTTGCACGGAATTGCACGCGGAGAGTAAACCACGTTGCGCGCAAGACCCCCGACTGTGGCGAGCGATGTGATCGGGGCCCATATCGCGCCTCTGTACGCACGTAGCACTTCTATCGCAACGTATCGTGGTCAGCCGCGCTCAATCGGACGCCGCTGAACGAGCGGGATGCGGACAAAGGTCCATCCGTCCGCCTCCACGTGCGCTCGGAATTGTCGACAACTCGAACGCACGCACCGAAGATGCTTTGCTGCCCGTTGTTGGGGTCACGGATGAGACGGCACCGGCACTCGCGTCGGCGATTGCGGTCACGAATCACACGGCGGTCGAACGACTCCGTGCCAGCACGAAGAGAGAGCCATTGGGGCTGTCCTTGATCATTTGTTTATAGAAATTAACGAGGAATTTTGACATTTTATACGATCATTATGACGGGCATTTTCCGATCAGATCAAACGAGAGGGTCTAGCAACACGGGTCTCCCAACACGACGCATTGAACCTCTTTCGCAGACGTATACAAGTACGCAGAATAGACCGATAGCTTGACTAAGTGACGTCTCGCATAGCGATCAAAACGCAAATGCCATGCGCTTTGCATAGCAAAGGCGTTCAACCAGACACGTGGGGTTCTACTACCTAGCAGTGAATGCACCTAAAGTAAAAGACGAATGTGTAATGCCTACAGCATGTAGACACAGTCTCGAGCATACTGCCGGCGGGAGGAACTGCTGTCAGCGAGTCCCCGTCACGAGGGAGTGGCTGGACAGAATCACGTCCCACCGCCTGTGTCTCCACATTACCGATGTGTTTTTACTCACCACACCAGGTGCTCAATTGCATGCCGAGTGGACCTAGGGAAGGCCACGACTGGTTCAGATATTCATAATTGTTATTGCTCGTGAGCAGCAGACGATCCGACACACGACAAAATACGAACACACACACACACATACAGGCATGTGTCGACAGCTGCCCATACTGCGTTACATTACCTTTCATTAACCATATCCGCCTCTCTCTCTCTCTCTCAACATGAGTTGGCTGCACAATATAGACATTATGTCTTTGTAAAAACACGATGCATGCGAATTGATTAAAGTAACTTTCAACAAATGCACCGAGACGTTATGATGCAATGACGACGACATCAAAAGATAAACGACAAAGGCAATGCTCCCCAGGATAGCCTCGAGAGACTTTTGAGGCAAGTGCTGTTTGCGGGCTCACAAATGAAGGCCGGGTCGGCGCACGCGGGGTGGGAAGGGGGGGTGACCAGGAACCACGCCCGGCCGCCTTTGTCTTCCCTCGTACTCATTTGAGGCTGAGTCGACCCAGGGAAGGTCCCTAGACCACCACAAGTGTGATCAACACTGAAGGTCCCTAGACCACCACAAGTGTGAACAACACTGAAGGTCCCTAGACCACCACAAGTGTGAGCTACACTGAAGGTCCCTAGACCACCACAAGTGTGAGCTACACTGAAGGCCCCTACACCACAAGTGTGAACAACACTGAAGGTCCCTAGACCACAAGTGTGAACAACACTGAAGGTCCCTAGACCACCACAAGTGTGAACAACACTGAAGGTCCCTAGACCACCACAAGTGTGAGCTACACTGAAGGTCCCTAGACCACCACAAGTGTGAGCAACACTGAAGGTCCCTAGACCACCACAAGTGTGAGCAACACTGAAGGTCCCTAGACCACCACAAGTGTGAACAACACTGAAGGTCCCTACACCACAAGTGTGAGCTACACTGAAGGTCCCTAGACCACCACAAGTGTGAGCTACACTGAAGGTCCCTACACCACAAGTGTGAGCTACACTGAAGGTCCCTAGACCACCACAAGTGTGAGCTACACTGAAGGCCCCTAGACCACAAGTGTGAACAACACTGAAGGTCCCTAGACCACCACAAGTGTGAGCAACACTGAAGGTCCCTAGACCACCACAAGTGTGAGCAACACTGAAGGCCCCTAAACCACAAGTGTGAGCTACAGTGAAGGTCCCTAGACCACCACAAGTGTGAGCAACACTGAAGGTCCCTGGACCACCACAAGTGTGAACAACACTGAAGGTCCCTAGACCACCACAAGTGTGAGCTACACTGAAGGTCCCTACACCACAAGTGTGATCAACACTGACGGTCCCTAGACCACAAGTGTGAGCTACACTGAAGGTCCCTAGACCACCACAAGTGTGATCAACACTGAAGGTCCCTAGACCACAAGTGTGAGCTACACTGAAGGTCCCTAGACCACAAGTGTGAGCTACACTGAAGGTCCCTAGACCACCACAAGTGTGATCAACACTGAAGGTCCCTAGACCACCACAAGTGTGAACAACACTGAAGGTCCCTAGACCACCACAAGTGTGAGCTACACTGACGGTCCCTAGACCACCACAAGTGTGATCAACACTGACGGTCCCTAGACCACCACAAGTGTGAACAACACTGAAGGTCCCTAGACCACCACAAGTGTGAGCTACACTGAAGGCCCCTAGACCACCACAAGTGTGATCAACACTGACGGTCCCTAGACCACAAGTGTGAGCTACACTGAAGGCCCCTAGACCACAAGTGTGAGCTACACTGAAGGTCCCTAGACCACCACAAGTGTGAACAACACTGACGGTCCCTAGACCACAAGTGTGAGCTACACTGAAGGTCCCTACACCACAAGTGTGAACAACACTGAAGGTCCCTAGACCACCACAAGTGTGAACAACACTGAAGGTCCCTAGACCACCACAAGTGTGAGCAACACTGAAGGTCCCTACACCACAAGTGTGAACAACACTGAAGGTCCCTAGACCACCACAAGTGTGAGCAACACTGAAGGTCCCTAGACCACCACAAGTGTGAGCTTCACTGAAGGCAACGGCAGCGCACACACGGGCGATGGTGCGTGGACTGCTGACCCAGGGATTCAAGCGTCATTAAGCCCCCGGCATTGCATTCGCATTCTCGGCGTCACTTCTCCATCGCCTAGGGAGTGCGAGCGCGCGCGCGCGCCTCCTCCGTGCGCGCGCGCGCGCCTCCTCCGTGTGCGCGTGCTCGTTGCGGTGGGTGGGTGGGGGGGGCGTCAGTGGTCAGCGCGCTGACCGCTGCGAACCCGGCGTTCCCGAGTTCGATTCCCGCTCGCGGACAACGCCGTTGACGATCGTCTGGAACGGTCTTGGGGGCGCGCTTAGCTGTGTTCGGCTCGGCCCTCAAACGAGCACCTGGCGCGGTGTGTAGAAAACACCGCCGCTCGGGGAGACAAAGGCGGCCGGGCGTGGTGCTGGCCACCCAAACCCCCCCCCTCGCGTGCCGTGCCGTGCCGGCCTCCGTAGGTGCTCGCCAGCAGCACTTGCCCCAACTGTATGCTGAGGCTATACCGGGGGGGTGGGGGGGGTGAATCTTTGTCTTTGTTGTTGCGGTGGTGCCTCCAGACCTCGAGAACCACTCTCGGCTCCTTCTTCCCGACGCGATCCCTGAGATGAGGCCAGAACCGGGACCTCCGGCGACTGAGCGGCCAAGTAGCCAATTTGTAAGGATGGCGGTCACAGAGGAGTGATCCGTGTGTCCGCGTAGGCATCGGCGTTCAATTCCACGTGGGCTTCAAGCGCCAGTACCGGACATTAACCTCGGCCTCGGCCGCACCTCCGATTGGCGCGGTCGGCTGTGTACGGTGCGAAAGAAGTTCAACGTACACACTTTGCATACGCCGCACGGTTGATCCTTACCATCAGTAGCCATTGTCGTGGTGGGTATGTATTGATATGTTTTTGATAGACAGGGTGGCCCAAAAGTCTGGACACATGGGGTTATTTCACGTATTTTAACATTGGAAAAGTCCTCAAATTCATTTGAAAAGAGGATTCGTGCACCGTGCATTCACGTGTGATGCCAGTCGGTTTGAAAATGTGTTAAAATACATTAAATAACCCTCCGTGATATGTAAAAAAAATAAGTAACCCTGTGTATCCTGACGATTGGGCCACTCTGTATATATATATATATATAAACAGTATATACAGTATATAATGATGTTGAAGGGCAGCATTGACTAACGGCGGTTGCGTCGTGTCGAAGGGCAACATTGCTTGGCAGCGTCTGTGTCCAGTAGGGCAGCAGCATTTACTGATAGCGGATGCGTTTTGTTATAGACTCCAGCAAGTACCCTTAACACGTGGAGCGTTCTGTTATAGACTCCAGCAAGTACCTTTAACGCGTGGAGCGTTCTGTTATAGACTCCAGCAAGTACCCTTAACGCGTGGAGCGTTCTGTTATAGACTCCAGCAAGTACCCTTAACGCGTGGAGCGTTCTGTTACAGACTCCAGCAAGTACACTTAACGCGCGGAGCGTTCTGTTATAGACTCCAGCAAGTACCCTTAACGCGTGGAGTGTTCTGTTATAGACTCTAGCAAGTACCCTTAACGCGTGGAGCGTTCTGTTACAGACTCCAACAAGTACCCTTAACGCGTGGAGCGTTCTGTTATAGACTCCAGCAAGTACCCTTAACGCGTGGAGCGTTCTGTTATAGACTCCGGCAAGTACCCTTAACGCGTGGCGCGTTCTGTTAGAGACTCCAGCAAGTACCCTTAATGCGTTGAGCGTTCTGTTAGAGACTCCAGCAAGTACCCTTAATGCGTTGAGCGTTCTGTTATAGACTCCAGCAAGTTCCCTTAACGCGTGGAGCGTTCTGTTACAGACTCCAGCAGTACCCTTAACGCGTGGAGCGTTCTGTTACAGGCAGCAGAGACGCTGCCCGCGTGGTCGGGCAGCGGCTACGCTTCGTGTGAGGGCAGTAGCAATGACCGCACATTAGCTGCGGTGTTGTACGAAGGGCAGCAAATATGCTCCACAGCCATTGGAAGCATCGTCAGGCAGGGGCTGTTTTAAAATTGAACTATTGTGTTTTTTTATATTTTACCAGGTACAACCCCAACTGAGCTACGTAAGCTCTCGTTCAAAAGCGGCCTGGCCACACAAATGATAGCGCAACAAAAGTGGCTTATCACGTGGAAATGTATAGCAGCCAAATACTCTAAGTGCGTGTCGATTATAAATGTGTAGAGGGAGACCGAAGGATCCGGATATGAAGAAAAAATCCACGCGACCACGGGGAGAGATTTCGTGTCTCCCTCCCCGTGGTCGTCTGCATTTTGTTTTCCGGGGTCCTCCGTTTTTTCCCCTCCACATTCACAATCAACATCGCGCGTTTAGAGTATTTGTCCGCGAGAAATGTCCACGTGATAAGCCATCATCTGTGCTCGGGTCGCTTCTTCAAAATAACGATGTAGCAGCCCAGTGGGCCTTAACCACGTAAAATAAAAAAAAAATGTTCATGCCTGAGTTTATTCTTCTGTCCGTATCCGTGTGGATCGCAGTGGGACCGGGCAGGCGACGTGGGCGCCAGACCTACTCGCGCTACCAGACCCTCGAGCTGGAGAAGGAGTTCCTCTTCAACCCGTACCTGACGCGCAAACGGCGCATCGAGGTGTCGCACGCGCTGGGCCTCACCGAGCGCCAGGTCAAGATCTGGTTCCAGAACCGGCGCATGAAGTGGAAGAAGGAGAACAACAGGGACAAGTTCCCGGCGAGGAAGGAGGACATGGTCAAGGATCCCGACAAAGCCGACGAGAACTCTGCGGACGAGGGCTCGGAGGGTACCTCAAAGAACGAGGATGCGGAATGACGATGGTGGCGATTGGTGATGATGGTGGTGATGGTGGTGGTGGTGATGTAGCAGCACGGTAGGGGGGTGGGGGGGAAGGATGTGGCGCGGTGTAGCAAGACCGGAAGCGTGAGACCAACGCGCGCTTCGTTTGTGTCCTTCCCCCTCCCCCGCACCTCCAATGAGCACGGTTTGCTGCGTACGGCGCGAACGAAGTTCAACATCGGACCTGACGCGGAGCAACGCGCACGACCATCGTCCGGCTCTGCTGTGATCAACCCCGGCAACTCCCCGGCTCCCAACTCGCCTGGCGGGATCGACGGCGATGATCAGAGAGCGAATCGTCTCCCTGGTTCGAACGGGCAAAAAAAAACAAGAGGGAAAAAAAACCCCACCTTAAATCTGGCCTCGTCAAATAATAATCATGATTATCGTGATTATTATACCCGCTCTGTGAAACAAAACTAAATCGCAGTGTGCGGATCGCGATGTCTGTGAGTGTGTGCGTCTGTGTGTGTGTGTCTGTGTGTTTGGGGAGCGGTGGCGCAGCGGTTAGCGCGCTGCTGTGCTACGATTCCGGCGAGCCGAGAAAAAGGTCGATGCCCGCTCACGGCCACCAACACCAGTGACAGCGATTATCCGAACTGGGTCGACTCAGCCTTAAATGAGTACCTGGTGCAGTGTGTAAAACGTGGCCACCTGGGAGACTTCGGCGGTGGGGGTGTGGTGGTGGCCACCCGCCCCTTCGCGCGCGGTGTCGGCCTTCTTAGGTGGTGCTCGCTAACAGCACTTGCCCCAACAGTCAGTTATGGCTACACGGGGGATCTTTGTCTTTGTGTGAGCGAGGCATGCGTGAGCGGTGTTTGTGTGTGTGAGCGGTGTGTGTGTTTGTGTGTGTGAGCGGTATGTGTTTGTGTGTGGTGTGTGTGAGCGGTGTGTGTGTTTGTGTGTGTGAGCGGTATGTGTTTGTGTGTGGTGTGTGTGAGCGGTGTGTGCGTTTGTGTGTGTTTATGTGTGTGAGCGGTGTGTGTGTTTGTGTGTGTGAGCGAGGCATGTGTGTTTGTGTGTGTGTTTGTGTGTGTGAGCGCTGTGTGTGTTTGTGTGTGTTTGTGTGTGTGAGCGAGGCATGTGTGAGCGGTATGTGTTTGTGTGTGGTGTGTGTGAGCGGTGTGTGCGTTTGTGTGTGTTTATGTGTGTGTTTATGTGTGTGTTTATGTGTGTGAGCGGTGTGTGTGTTTGTGTGTGTGTTTGTGTGTGAGCGGTATGTGTGTTTGTGTGTGTGTTTGTGTGTGTGAGCGGTGTTTGTGTGTGTGAGCGGTGTGTGTGTTTGTGTGTGTGTTTGTGTGTGTGAGCGGTGTGTGTGTTTGTGTGTGTTTGTGTGTGTGAGCGAGGCATGTGTGAGCGGTATGTTGTTTGTGTATGTGTTTATGTGTGCGTTTGTGTGTGTTTGTGTGTGTGAGCGGTGTGTGTGTTTGTGTGTGTGTTTATGTGTGTGTTTGTGTGTGTATTTGTGTTTGTGTGTGTGAGCGGTGTTTGTGTTTGTGTGAGCGGTGTGTGTGTTTGTGCGTGTGTGTTGTGTGTGTGAGCGCTGTGTTTGTGTGTATGTTTGGGTGTGTGAGCGGTGTGTGTGTTTTGTGTGTGTGAGCGGTGTGTGTGAGCGGTGTTTGTGTGTGTGTTTGTGTGTGTGAGCGGTGTGTGTTTGTGAGCGGTGTGTGTGTTTGAGCGGTGTGTGTTTGTGAGCGGTGTGTGTGTTTGTGTGTGTGTTTGTGTGTGTGTTTGTGTGTGTGTTTGTGTGTGTGAGCGGTGTGTGTGTGTGTTTGTGTGTGTGAGCGTTGTTTGTGTGTGTGTGAGCGGTGTTTGTGTGTGTGAGTGGTGTGTTTGTGTGTATGTTTGTGTGTGTGAGCGGTGTGTGTGTTTGTGTGTGTTTGTATGTGTGTTTGTGTGTGTGAGCGGTGTTTGTGTGTGTGTTTGTGTGTGTGAGCGGTGTGTGTTTGTGAGCGGTGTGTGTTTGTGAGCGGTGTGTGTGTTTGTGTGTGTGAGCGGTATGTGTTTGTGTGTGGTGTGTGTGAGCGGTGTGTGCGTTTGTGTGTGTTTATGTGTGTGAGCGGTGTGTGTGTTTGTGTGTGTGAGCGAGGCATGTGTGTTTGTGTGTGTGTTTGTGTGTGTGAGCGCTGTGTGTGTTTGTGTGTGTTTGTGTGTGTGAGCGAGGCATGTGTGAGCGGTATGTGTTTGTGTGTGGTGTGTGTGAGCGGTGTGTGCGTTTGTGTGTGTTTATGTGTGTGTTTATGTGTGTGAGCGGTGTGTGTGTTTGTGTGTGTGTTTGTGTGTGAGCGGTATGTGTGTTTGTGTGTGTGTTTGTGTGTGTGAGCGGTGTTTGTGTGTGTGAGCGGTGTGTGTGTTTGTGTGTGTGTTTGTGTGTGTGAGCGGTGTGTGTGTTTGTGTGTGTTTGTGTGTGTGAGCGAGGCATGTGTGAGCGGTATGTTGTTTGTGTATGTGTTTATGTGTGCGTTTGTGTGTGTTTGTGTGTGTGAGCGGTGTGTGTGTTTGTGTGTGTGTTTATGTGTGTGTTTGTGTGTGTATTTGTGTTTGTGTGTGTGAGCGGTGTTTGTGTTTGTGTGAGCGGTGTGTGTGTTTGTGCGTGTGTGTTGTGTGTGTGAGCGCTGTGTTTGTGTGTATGTTTGGGTGTGTGAGCGGTGTGTGTGTTTTGTGTGTGTGAGCGGTGTGTGTGAGCGGTGTTTGTGTGTGTGTTTGTGTGTGTGAGCGGTGTGTGTTTGTGAGCGGTGTGTGTGTTTGTGTGTTTGAGCGGTGTGTGTTTGTGAGCGGTGTGTGTGTTTGTGTGTGTGTTTGTGTGTGTGTTTGTGTGTGTGTTTGTGTGTGTGAGCGGTGTGTGTGTTTGTGTGTGTGAGCGTTGTTTGTGTGTGTGTGAGCGGTGTTTGTGTGTGTGAGTGGTGTGTTTGTGTGTATGTTTGTGTGTGTGAGCGGTGTGTGTGTTTGTGTGTGTTTGTATGTGTGTTTGTGTGTGTGAGCGGTGTTTGTGTGTGTGTGTTTGTGTGTGTGAGCGGTGTGTGTTTGTGAGCGGTGTGTGTGTTTGTGCGTGTGAGCGAGGCATGTGTGAGCGGTGTGTGTGTGAGCGGTGTTTGTGTGTGTTTGTGTGTGTGAGCGGTGTGTGTGTTTGTGTTTGTGTGTGTGAGCGGTGTGTGTTTGTGAGCGGTGTGTGTGTTTGTGTGTTTGAGCGAGGCATGTGTGAGCGGTGTGTGTGTGTTTGTGTGTGTGAGCGAGGCATGTGAGCGGTGTGTGTGTCTACACGCGACGTCAGAGTGCATTAAGGCGGACGTGGCGCTGATTTGGGGCAGCGGTGTGTTCGGAGCGGTCTGAACTCGTGTGTTTTGATGGTGGACAGACCCACGGTGGTTTATACCGCTCGCGTGCCGGGTAGGGGTCCAAACAACCACACACACACCAAGGTTGGAATCTTTTGTCTGTTTTTCTTCTTCCAGAAGTAGTAATTTCTCACTCGATATATCTGCCCGGAACGCTGCTATGGGGCCGCCTTGGAATGGTAGGGGGGGGGGGGTTTCGGCGATATCACCAGACAACAAGAGTACACGCCAGGGTTTCCCAAACTCGTTCCGCGCTACACGCGTCCGATGATTGTTAGGCGCGTGCCATGTGACGTGCTAGACGCCGCGCGTTCCACGTGTGCGCGTACGCTTGGAGCACGTGGACGCGTACGCACGCACTGAGATCTCGATCTTAGATCGAATCGGCTCTATCTACGCAGATGGAGGTAATTGCTTAGTGTGTCACGTGGGACGCGTTTAACAATCATCGGGCGCGTGCAGCGTGGGACGAGTTAATTCGCATTTGAATGTGGAGCAGTAAGTATCGTAGTGGTGGCGGCGGTAGCGAGCCGCATGGACTCGAGTTTGGACAACCCTGGTATAATCGAATCATATAATTGCACCATGTAGATATGATCCTAGAATCATCCGAACAGGTTTAACATACAGACCATCTGAGGGCGTTAAGAAGGACGCGGTGGTGGTTCTGCCCAATATATCATTCGAGGTGACGTCCCGGACTTGCCGCGGTCTGAAATTAAGAACCGGGTATTATGTAGGGGGTGTCGGACGTATCGGCAGTCGTATCTGGCCGTGGAGTTCCTGGACCTCCGCTAATGAACTGGGACTCAAAGTGAGTTGATTAGCAGGCCGTGCAGGGATCTCCACTGCATGATCTCTGTGAATGAGTCGACGGATTTTGTTGTTTTGTATCGAAAGATTGAATTTCGTGCCCAACAACATGAGCTACCTAAACGTAAAAAAAACATTTTATTTTATATATAATATAGTTTTTGTTCCTTCTCTCTACGCATTTAATGCATGTTAATAATAAGATATGTTTATTTTCTCTCTCTATTATTTTACAATTATACCACTCGTAATGATCAAGCACTCGTTAATCAGAACAGGCCACGTGGTTGCGTGCACACTCGTATAGAGAGATTCGTCCGAAGCGATGTAAATCCACACACACACAGGGACACACGAACAAAAATAAATATGCAACAACAACAATATATGTTACGTCGTTTTTGTTTTGTGTTGTATATTTTCTGTTAAGGTTTTGTCCGTCCGGTCAATAAAAACTAAAATTTTAAACAGAAATAAAAGCGTTCACGAACGACCAACCACGAAGCGCCTCGTTTGAAATGTAAACAAACGGTACCATCTAGGCCCACCGTATCGTGATCCTTTGTGAAACTTGTAATAAAAACAAATACAGGATTCAGTGGCGCATAAAACATGTCCATTAAAATAAAATCACATTTTGCCATCAAAACTGCCTCGCTACGCAAGTGTACAACAGCCTAACGTTTCGGGCAATGGCCCTCCTTCAGGGCAGAGAGAGAGAGCACACAGGCCGCACTCTACAGTAATGTGGTGGTAATGGTGCTGTATATTTACACAGACAAGACAAAGACCCCCCCACCCACCCACCCCGTGTATCCTTAGCACGCTGTGCTGTAAGGGAGCGCCTGTTCAGGTCGGGACGGCCAGGACCACGGGGTGTGTGGCCGGCACCACGGGGTGTGTGGCCGCCACCACGGGGTGTGTGGCCGGGACCACGCCCCGGCCGCTTTCGTCTCCCCAGTGGCGGTCTTTACGCACCGCGCCAGGTCGGTATTCATTTTGAGGCTGAGTCGACCCAGGGGAGGCACAGGACCGCTTCGGATATTGGTCGCGAGCGGTGGTCGTGTTTGGCAGCGCCGACCGCGAAACCGCGACGCCACCGCTCCCTACGTACAAAGACAAAGATCCCCCGCATAGCCTTAACAGACTGTCGGGGCAAGTGCTGTTAGCGAGCGCCTGTGAAGGCCGGCACGGCACACGAGTGGGGTGGGTGGCCAGCACCACGCCCGACCGCCTTTGTCTCCCTAGCGGCGTTACTTACGCATCGCACCAGGTACTCATTTGAGGCTGAGTCGACCTAAGAGAGGCCCTGGATCGATTCAGAGATAATCGTCACTGGGTGTTGGCCGAGAGCGGGAATCGAACTCGAGATGCCGGGGCTCTTAGCGCGGTGCGCTAACGGCTACGTACAAACAAACAAACACACGGACACGAAAGCTTCCAATGAAGTTGACGCGAATCCAATTCTGCACGGCGACATTTGTCCCCCCCCCCCGGGAGAGGGTCGACGGAAGGGTCTTAAAAGACTCCCTTCGTTAAGGGTCCTTTGCTTGAGAGTCGCGCACTCGGGGCCCGAAGGGAGAGAGCGCTTTCTCTCCCTCTTGCGTCTTGGCTGATGCCGATTCAGAGCTACGACCACCACCACGATATTAGGTGGTGGTGGTGGTGGTGGAAGTTTGCACCGCGTTGTGGCGCTGAACTTCCCTACGCAACACAGCAACAACAACAACAACGCACCTCCGATTGGCACAGTTGGCAACGAAGAGTACGAAAGAACGTCAACAACAACCACCGCCAGACAACGTCATCGCCTTCACAAAGCTCTTCCTCCAAGTGCGCTTCTCGACAAGCTTCAAAGTCTTCTGGACGTTTCAGTTTACCAGTTGAGGCCCAATGAGCGAATTAGCATCTTTTGTTTTCTTTCGGAAACGACCGGGCCACACAAATGATGGCTCGTCACGCGTTAATATCACAGCAGCCAAAAGCTCTGAACGCGTGATGTTGCTTTGAGATGTGGAGGGATAACCCGGAGGACCCGGAGAAAAATCCAGACGAGCACGGGGAGCGAGACACGCAAACTTTTCCACGTGGTCGCGTGAATTGATTTTATTCAGGGTCCTCCGGTTTAACCCCTGCACATTAGGAATCAACATGCACTCAGAGTATTTGGCTGCTATAAATTCCCATAGGGGTTGGGGAGGGGCCGGGAGACAGGAGTCAGAATCTTTATACTTGAGGAATCCGATGAGCTATGAAGCTCTTTTCCACAGATGTCCAGTAGGGGCACGGGGTCAGCAAGTTACAACACGCATACGAAAATACAACAGGAGTGCAAAGTGTAGGAAAAGTTAACAAATCTACAACAAAAACACGTAAAATATATACCTATATTCATACTCTTTAGTTCTTACGGTAAAGTCACGTGGGTAGAAATAAAATTAAACAAATGACAACGTTTCGATCGCAACGCAAGCAATCTGCATCAGGTGGAACAACCACAGCAAGAAAATGCATGAAGTAGGCGAGAGAGATTCCTGCGGTCACGAAAGCTTCATACCCATATTTATTTTACCAGGTAAAGCCCACTGAGCGATTCGCTTTATTTTTTCAGTCAGAAGCATGCATAGGAAACTAAATTCGTGTTGTATTTTACCAGGTAAGGCCAAAGACATATATATTTTTAGAAGCGGGACCTGGCCACAAGTGAGAGCGGGGGACGGGGGAGCTCGTGCCCGGTTAGGTGCCTCCACTTGCCCGCCACCAGCACTGATCAGGAAACCGCTCGTGTGGCCTCACCACAACTCCCTCCTCTCCTGCTCCTCCTCCTCCTCCGACGTCTGATTAACGTCACGAGCCACCCCCACCCCGACTTCGCCACGACGCATTGGTCGACCGCACCGCACATGGACAGCATCACATGACGCGCGTGCATTCGTCCGGGATGGAGGAGGAGGAGGAGCAGGAGCAGGAGGAATACCCGGCACGACAGTAAATCTGCGACTTTTGTGTGCGGCATGTGTCACAGCCTAACACACACACACACACAAAGACACACACACACACAAAACAACAACTGCTACACACCCGCACACCACTCGAACTGTACATGCACATCGTACGCGCGACAATGCACTCGGCTCTCCACGTGAACGCAGCCCTCCTCTCTCGATTCGCCACGGGCATCCCCGCCGCTGCCCACCGGCCCACGGCGCGCCGGGGCGGTGGCCACCCGGGCGATGAAGGGGGGCAGAGTGCCCCCCACGGAGAGGAACAACAGCAGCAGCAGCAGCAGCAGTCGAGCACCGCCGCTATCTCCTGCCCGCCACCCGCAGGTCACACCGGTGACCCGGCCTTCGTGCGCGGCCTTCACGTGGCGTTCGCTTTCGAGCGCGGTGCCCGGCGGGGAGAGAGGCCCTCTCTGCGGGGCGGTCCCGCGGAGCAAGGCGGCGGTGGCGGCCCCCTTTACCCGTGGATGAGGAGCTCAGGTAGGGCTTCACTTCGGGGGAGGGGTTCCCGATACGCGAAAGAGGTCACGCGTACTAATACGAATCAATAATAATAATAATGTGAAAATAAACACAGAGACACGAGTGCGTCGCCGCGCCACGTCACAATATAAATGACGCTTTGGTTCCCTCGTAGACCATCGGACGTACACACACACTCACGTGTGTGTATACACACACACTCACACGTGTATATACATACACACACGTGTGAGTGTGTGTATGTTCATACACACTCACGTGTGTGTGTGTGTATGTACACACTCACACGTCTGTGTGTGTATGTGTACATACACATTCACACGGGTGTGTGTATGTACACACTCACACGTGTGTGTATGTACACACTCACACGTGTGTGTATGTACATACTCACACACTCACACGTGTGTGTATGTACATACTCACACACTCACACGTGTGTGTATGTACATACTCACACACTCACACGTGTGTGTGTATACACACGAGTGTGTGTGTATGTACACACACGTGTGTGTGTGTATGTATATACACAAATGTGTATACACACGCGTGTGTGTGTATGTACATACACGTGTGTGTGTATGTACATACACGTGTGTGTGTATGTATATACACATACACGTGTGTGTATGTACACACACGTGTGTGTGTGTATGTATATACACATACACACGTGTGTGTATACACGTGTGTATGTGTATACGTGTGTGTATGTGTATATATATACACACGTGTGTGTGTGTTTATATATATACACACGTGTGTGTTTATATATACACGTGTGTGTGTGTGTGTGTTTATATATACACGTGTGTGTGTTTATATATACACACGTGTGTGTGTATGTGTATATATACACACATACATACACACGTGACTGTATATACAGACACACACACGTGTATGTATATATGTTAAAGCGTACTTTGCTTTCGAGATGTAAAGTTCGGCAAACAAAACACGAGCTGGGTCTGTTGCCCAGCGCCTGTTAACAACAACAAGCGAGCTAGCAAGCTGCAGACGGACGAACGAGCCATTCGTTGTTATTGCTGCTGCTGTGGTGGTGGTGGTTGTTGTTAAACGCTGTCACTTTGAGAATGAGACCATGCACAGTGTGTATGTATATATAAGAGACATGTCATCGTTTAATTGTAGGTTTTTATTTTTTATTGCTTGATACATTTTTACATATTTTTTTCCCTGAACATAATCTACCCAGGGGTAACATTTTACCCAGGGTGTAAATTAAGGATGCACGTTCAGTCAGTCTCATTTGGCTCTCATCTGGTTTTAGATTCGGAGTGAACAACATGTGATACGCACGCTTCTAAGGGATGTTGCTGTTGCCAGTCTGTATCATTACACGCTTTGATTTAACTCCGTTGTTGTCGTTGTATCCTCAAATCTTGTAACTCAATTTTAGCCCACTTCCCAATGTGGTTTCGACTGCAAACTTGGTATACATATGTCATATTGATGACAATACTATATTCTATCATTTAAAAAAATATTTAAAAATATATTTTTAAACAATATTTTCTGTATATGTTATGTTTCGGCTTGGCTCTAATTGTCCACGCTCAACTGACTTTGCCTGTAAGTGGCCACGGTCCCCTTAGGTTGTGGCGAGCTTCGGGGCCCCTTCCTGGAGTGTGGGGTTCTTCCATTACTAGTACATTTCATTAAAGCGTGTTTTTTTTTTAAAAAGAGTTGTTTTTCAATATAAATTATTTATAGACATGAATTCTTGACAGTTATATATATATACGCCTACAAAATCAAAGATGCTGATGTGTGTTTAAGACGTAGGCTATATTACGTGTTTGTCGATTATATACGGTGGAGAGTGGTAGTGCAGTGGTTAGCGCGCTGCGCTACCAACTTGGCCCCGAGAGTTCGATTCCCGCTCATGGCAACCAACACGACCCGTGACGGATTATCTGAACCGTTCCCGGACCTCTCCTAGGTCAACTCAGCCTCCAAGGAAGTAACGTTGTGGCGAGCTTCGGGGCCCCTTCCTGGAGTCGTGCGTGGTGCTGGCCACCCACCCCCTCGTGTGCCACAGTGCCGACCGTCATAGGTGGTGCTCGCTAACAGCACTTGTCCCCGTAGTCTAGTACATTCTACATGGTGGGGGACCTTTGTCTTTGCATACAACGTGACATATTGCAAAATGTTTGCACGAATAAAATGATCTCATGTATATACACATATATACAATATATGCCTACGTATTAACACTCGTGACGTCACTCCACATCTACCAGCTCCACATCTACCAGCCCCCCTCATTAATATTCATGAGCACGTGACGTCCTCCCCCCCACCCCTCATTAATAATCATGAGCGGGTGACGTCACTCAATATGGAGTATGCCCCCCCATTATTATTCCCGACTATAATGTGCAACGCTCGTGACGTCATCTAACGTCGACCAGCCCCCCTCATTAATAATCATAATAATTAGCGGCTGACGTCACTCCTCGGCGTCAACTCACAACCCTCACTACAAAGGCAGAACCCTCACGTCACGTGATCTCCGTAACGCTGTTGAGACATCAAAGGGATTCATCTTCTTGGTTCTTTCGGTAAAGTCACGTAGAAGGGAAATAATGAAAATAATACAAATGAAACGTAATAAAATAAAAAATAAAAATTCTCACGACGTTTCGGGCAGCCGTCCCCTTCTCCGTGACTTTACCGAAAGATCCTAGAGGATAAAAAGGACCTCGTGATGAACTAAGGGATGACAACCTCAAAATTAAATAGGTCTGTGTCACCGCGCCCTTACTAATTGCACACGAAGTGATGCAGTGAATATATCTGTGCTTTTCCCCTGCAAGTTTCAGATTCACTGCAATACCCCACTCGTCCTTGGACGGGCAGAAGGCTCGTGTATTAATAATCACAATGCGTGACGCAGGGGTTCGGGGCCGTACATAAATGACGTCACGCACCTAGGGGGGTGGTGGGGGGGGTCAGACATTTGTGACGATGCGTGACGAGTGGGGGGGGGCTGAGAAATGTGACGTCACGTAAAAATGCGCAACTTTAAATAAATATAGACAACACGTTCTACTTAATTAAATATACTTTTTTTAATAAATGTTATCTCCTACAACATCAGAGTGCAGCGCCACATTAAATACGCACTACAATGACAATAGTTTAAAGCGATTTGAAGCATGTTTTATTTTTTTTTGGGGGGTGGGGGCAGAGCTTTCTGACGTCATATTTGAAGGGGGGGGGGGATCAAAAATCGTTCAAAATCGCGTGACGTCATTTATGGACGGCCCCTTTTGTCGCACTGACTTCGATTCCTGGCCTGAAGCTCACGACGGGCCCCCCCCCCCCCCGACGTTCCGCAGTGCGTACAAAGTCCAGTGCGGTGAAGTATGGTCAAGCAAAAAAACCCCGGTGCCCCCCGCAACCAACACGGCCGTGCGAGTCGCCGTCATCCAGCAGTGTGATTGACGAACGCGTAGCCATCTCGCTTACTAAAGTTGTTGTCGACAACGAAATGCGTTTCGCTACGGCAAAAACAAAAACAAAACCAACACCACCCCAAATAATTTTTAAGAGCCGTGCCACGGACCGCTGCAGCGTGGTACAAACGGAGAGCTGTCGTCACGTGATCAGTGCGACTTCCACTGAACGATGAAAGACTCACACACACAGACACAGACAAAGATCCCCCGTATAGCCTTAGCAGACTGTTTGGACAAGTGAAGTTAGCGAGTAGCACCTTTGAAGGAACGGCGTTGTGGCACACGAGGTGGGGTGGGGGAGGGGGGGGTGGTGGTGTGGTCAGAACCACGCCCGCCCGCCTTTGTCTCCCTTGTGTTGGGAGTGTGTACACAGCGCACCAGGTACTACATTGAGGCTGAGTCGACCTACGACCGGTTGCGGTAATCGTGACTGGTGCTTACTTACACGTACAGAGAGAGAGACACAAACACGGCACCACCCACTCGCTGCTGCTTCTGCTGCCCGGCTGAGAAGCACAATACTGGAGGAGAGGGGGGGGGGGATGTGTTTAGTTACAGGCCTCGCCTCTTAGCGGACCGCAAGGCCTGGATGAACGGAGCGCACTTCGGCTGTGGTTTGAACGATGGTGCTCTCTCTACCTGGAGAAATCCAGAGACGTTGCAGGGTAAACACAACACAAAAATAAGGCAAAGGCTTGCAGGTGTTTTTTTTCTCACTGAAGAAATTCCCGCGATGTACGTACTCAATGTTGAAACTTCTTTCGCACCGTGCTAATAAATCCCTCTTCGAGTCGGTTTGAAGTCGGGGCTATCGGCGTAAGGCACTACCACTTGAGTACAAGATAGACGCCTACCCATAATAATTATAACAAGTATATATCACGGTGTGCTATGGTTCTCTCCTTGTATATATGTATATGTAGGTGCACACCACTGCAGTATCGTGGGGACAACATAAGGCGAGATGGATGGGACCGAGTGTAAAGATCATTCCGGACGAAAAAAGTTTTGTGTTCCCGGGCCGAAATTAAGCACAGGGGTGAGATGCACACGGAAGCAGAGAGACTCCCTACTTTGTGCGTTTGCACGTCATAGCTCGCTTCAACGGACGTCGACGGGGGCGAGATGTTAACTACCTCGCCTGGTAAACAGGAGGGTTATGGCTTCGATCCCGACCTTGACGCCTGCTGTATATTTTGAGTTTGCATGTTGTCTCTCTCCCCGTGGTCACGCTGGATTTGTATCCGGGTACTCCGTTTTTTCCCTCGACATTGAGAATCAACACGCGTTTAGGGTGTTTGATTGCTATTAATGTCCACGCGATAAGCCACTTCATTGAGCTATCATTTGCGGCCAGGATTCAGAATACAAACTGATGACGTACATTTTCATACGTCATCGGATCGGGAAATGGATAAGCACAGGCTAAGAACAGTGGTTCTTAGCCGTAATGGATCTGTGGACTATATACTATCGGCCCTCAATAACTACTAAATACCGACATGT